CCATGGGGAAATTTGGGGTCTCAGGGGGAAATTTGGGGTCTCAGGGGGAAATTTGGGGGTCCCATGGGGAAATTTAGGGGTCCTATGGAGAAATTTGGGGTCTCAGGGGGAAATTTGGGGTCTCAGGGGGAAACTTGGGGGTCCCATGGGGAAATTTAGGGGTCCCATGGGGAAATTTGGGGGTCCCATGGGGAAATTTGGGGTCTCATGGGGAAACTTGGGGGTCCCATGGGGAAATCAGGCGTCCCATGGGGAAATTTAGGGGTCTCAGGGGGAAATTTAGGGGTCCTATGGAGAAATTTGGGGTCTCAGGGGGAAACTTGGGGGTCCCATGGGGAAATTTGGGGTACCATGGGGAAATTTAGGGGTCCTATGGAGAAATTTGGGGTACCATGGGGAAATTTAGGGGTCCTATGGAGAAATTAGGGTTCCCATGGGGAAATTGAGGGGTCCTATGGAGAAATTTGGGGTCCCATGGGGAAACTTGGGGGTCCTATGGAGAAATTTGGGGTACCAAGGGGAAATTTGGGGGTCTTAAGTGGAATTAGGGTGTTCTCGGGGGAATCTGGGGGGTATTGGGGGGGTTTAGGGGTCGCAGCATGGAACTGGGGGGTATTGGGGGGGTCCCAGAGGAAATTGGGGGGTCTCAGAGGAAGTTGGGAGGGTCTCAGAGGGAAATTTGCAGTCCCAGGAGAGAACTGGGGGGTCCCAGAGGGAACTTTGGGGGTCCAGGGGGGAGCTGGGGGGGTCCCAAGGAGGAATTTGGGGTCCCAGGGGGAATGTGGGGGGTCCAGGGGGAATTTGGGGGTCATGGGGGGTCCCGTGTCCCCCCAGGCAGGCCCAGGGCCTCTGCACGCCCGTGACCAGCGCGGCGCGGATGGAGAGCAACAGGCACGTGCTGTACCTGCTGAGGGACACCCGGTGAGACCCCGAAACATCCCCAAAGTCACCCCAAAATATCCCCTCAACAGCCCCTAAATCACCCCAAAACAGCCCCAAAATATCCCCTAAATATCCCCAAAACATTCCCAAAATATCCCCCAAAACAGCCCCAACAGGCACGTGCTGTACATGCTGAGGGACACCCGGTGAGACCCCAAAACATCCCCAAAATCACCCCAAAATATCCCCTAAACAGCCCCTAAATCACCCCAAAACAGCCCCCAAATATCCCCTAAATATCTCCAAAACATTCCCAAAATATCCCCCAAAACAGCCCCAACAGGCACGTGCTGTACATGCTGAGGGACACCCGGTGAGACCCCGAAACATCCCCAAAAAATCCCCTAAATCACCCCAAAATCACCCCAAAATATCCCATAAATCACCCCAAAGCATTCCCAAAAACAGCCCCAAAATATCCCCTAAATCACCCCAAAACAGCCCCAAAATATCCCCAAAACATTCCCAAAACCAGCCCCAAAATATCCCCTAAATATCCCCAAAATATTCCCCAAAACAGCCCCAAAATATCCCATAAATCACCCCAAAAACAGCCCCAACAGGCACGTGCTGTACATGCTGAGGGACACCCGGTGAGACCCCGAAATCACCCCAAAATATCCCCTAAATCACCCCAAAATCACCCCAAAATATCCCCAAAAACATCCCCTAAATATCCCCTAAGTCACCCCAAAATATTCCCAAACCATCCCCAAAAACATCCCCTAAATCACTCTAAAAATATCCCCAAAATATCCCCCAAATCCCCCCAAATTCCCCCAAATCTCCCAAATTTCCCCCCAAATCCCCCC